ATCTCCCCTGCAACCTGACCACACTTAAAGCTGCAGGTAGATCATTCAAATGAGTCTGGTCCCCATTCTTCCCCATAACTAGATGTTCTGACCAGAGGCTAAGTGTGTGCTGGTACTCCACACCTGCTGTCTGGATCAGCTGAAGACGATTTCATCCTTCTACTTCCCCCTGAAGGTAGGCACTACACCTTGATGAGGTCAGAAGCAGAAAACACAGGTCAGTCCATTCCATCTGTCCAGCTTTCTGCCTTATACCCACTATCTGGTTCACACAATAGCCCCACCAGGTGCCCCCACCAGGGTAAGCCCTGTGCTTCTCTGCGGTCACTGATGACTGAGATGCCTTCCCCAGAAGAAGCTTTTGTAAGCCTTTGTTGCTGTTCAGTTGGTCGGTCATGTCTGACTCTTTGTGACCCCATGGACTGTAGCCCACCAGGTTCCTGGTTCCTCAGTCCATGGGGATTCTCCAGGCAAGAGTACCGGAGTGGGTTGCCATGCCTTCGTCCAGGTGATCTCCCCAGCCCAGGGATCGAATCTAGGTCTGCTGCATTGCAGGAGGATTTTTTTTATCAGCTGAGCTACCCGGAAAGCTGGAGAGCCATGAGTGATCCCAACTGAAGCAGAAAGAGGAAGACTGGAGAACAATCAGAAGACAGTAGTGCCAGGGCCTCCAGATGAGAAAGATGCCAAGAAGGAAGCTGCTGGCAAGGTCAGATGTGGCCACATATGAGTGATTTCAGTATAACTCACAAGGATACAAAGAATTGCCCCTTCCTTGGGCTTAATGTAGGCCAATGTCAATATTCAAGGTGAATGAAAATGACTTAGAAAGAAAACTAATTAGGAAAGTCCCTGATTTACCTGTGTACACAGATCCAGAGTCACCTGACTATTCTTCCTTTTCCCTGAGCCAGTCTTTTTTTTTTTTTTAATTCCTTTAAAAGCCTATTTTTTTTCTTTGAATGTATGTGATAACATGGAAGTGAAGTGCTACAGTTTCCACCTGAGCTGGTCTTTACCAGCCTGAGAAAGAACCATTCTACCCTCATTAAAATGATGGTTGCAGAATTTTTTTTTAATAAAAAGGGATATTTCTGCTTCACAGTTCACAGAAGGAAAACAAGAAAAAGATTAACTTGTTTTCATTATAGGAACCTAATGTAAAACATGCATAAAAAAAAAGAGGTGAGAACATGGGTAAATGAGCAGTTGCTTCTAGTTAGTCTCTTTGGTATTTGTTTTTGTCCAATTATATGCACTTTTTGATAAATTCAAATGTCCCTACAAAGAGCATGCATTACTTTTAAGATCACAGAAAAAAATTGGTAAGGCTTGAAAAAGTGTTTTAATCAAATTCAAACAGAAGGTAAGCAAGGATAACAATATTAATGGTAGACAAACTATATTCATGCACAGGGAAAAAAAGCATGTTTTTAAGATAAAGGGAACATTACATAATGGTAACAACCACTGCTAACAGTGAAGCCATGCAGATACAAATCTATAGTTGCCAAAGAAACTGACAACAAGATACAGAAATCAAACGTTATTAAGAACACAGGAAGGAGTAGATATTGTAGGAGGAGATTTTAAAACACCATTATCAAAAAGACTTAAGAAAATAAACTCATAGTCTAGCTAAATACACAAAATTGATGTCTGGCAGGAATTCAATTTCATGATTACAGTGTGTGGGGGGGTCTTTTTAAGTGTGTATAGAACATTTACAAAATCTGTTAATACTAGCCACAAAGAAAAAAAAAAAGTTAAATTCCTTTTCCAGATAAAGAGAAGGCACGTTTAGCCTGGAGAAAAATATAGATGCTAGACCTGGGACAGAAAAGAGGGAAACTCTATTAATGTAGTCCATTCTGGGTTGCCTGGGTATCTCAGGGGACAGGGGAGGATGAATGAGAATTAACTTTAGGCTCAGACTGAAACAAACACCTCTTTCCCACTTTTTCTCACCCACTAAAGATCTTCATTTAGACCTGAAGTATGAACCACTGAAATGGTACTTAATCCAGTGGGTTTCAAAGTGTGGTCCCTACACCAGTAGCACACCAGGAAGCTTGTGAAAAATGTAAATTCTTAGACCCACCCCAGACCTCATGATGCAGAACTTCTTCCAAGTCAGGGTTCCAGAAGGCGCTGATGTGAAAGCATCTGATGCTAAAAGTGTATCAATACCCCAGCTCCCTTGCCCTTGAGTAGATGGACTCTTGAGGGGTGGGCATTACTCTGGCTTTGCCTTCCCTTCTTTGTCTTACTTCCCTACTCCTCGGATAATGCACTTTACCTCCCAAAGAAACTACTGCACTCAAATCTTAGTTTCCGGGGCTGTTCTGGGGGAACCCACACTAAGACATCTATCGGAGACCCCTGTTCTTTCAGAGCTCATGTTCTGGTTGACACTAGCTTGTCCTTCCATGTCTTCCTCGCAGGCTGAGTCTGCTGAGATCTCCCCTTGGGGAAGGAGCCCCACTGGTAGTGTGTCCTCACCCCAATTCAGTCTAGCACCTACTGTCTGCTTTCTTCTCTGGGTCTTCCATCTCTTCTCTGCACCACCTCTGGTCACTTCACTGCTAGCCCCTAACACCCCTTTCCCAGCCCTATTCAGCTTCATTGCTGACTGCCCAGCTGAGTTGCAAATGGAAGAACAAATCTGACTCCATGTTAGATCTGTTCCTTTTACTTTAACCTTTGTGCTCTGTTGCCTGTCATGCTTAGCCATGCTGGCTCTGCACCTTTTGTAAAAGAATGTTGCCTATAGCCTGAAACTTACAAGACAGCCTATTTTCAAGGCTCTAACCTTTAAGGGTATAACATTTTTCTACTCAACCAGAGATAAAAGTTGTAGAAGAGAGAAATAACATTAGTCTTGTTGGAGGTTTACAGGAACATCCTGACCTGGCCTAGTGGACAGTTGCAAGAACAAAGGATTCCAACACCAAGAAGTTTGTGACAACTAACCTGGTGCCTCCCTCCCTTTAAAAGTGCTTTGCTGAAATGTTACCAGGAGTTTGGGCTTTTTAAGCATGAGCCACCTGTCTCCTTGCATAGCCCTGTCTGCTCCAAACTCCAGTGTTTCTGCTGGTTTGACCTCACTGTGTGTCGGGCACATGAACTTTTGCTCAGTAACAGGATCAGACTCACAGAGGGTTGGCTACCAGCCAGGCCCTGTGAGACCAGATCTTGCCCAGCATAAGGAGTCCAGCTGTGCAGGGCACAGTGACCTCACGTGCTGTCTGCTACAGGAGGGTTCAGGGAGCTGAGGCGGCACAGAGCAAGTGTCTCAGGATGTCAACAAAGGAATCTCCCATGAAGTGACAGATAGGGGACACCTGGGGAATAAGTGGGACTTAGCCAGCAAATGGAGTGGAAGTATGAGCCAGGATTCCTTGCAGAGAGTTTGGAAGTACGTCTGAAGCCAGAGGTCTGCAGGTGCAAGCTGAGAGGCTGCAGAGAAAGCCATTGGAGCCACAACTTATGAGGCTTCAGGGAACTGAAAGAACCGCCTTCTCCCAAAGAAGACTCTCAAGGTCAGTTTTAGAAGAAAATAGATCATGAAATGGCCAGAGAAAAAGGGAGAAAATAAGGATATGAAAAATCCAGCAAATGACTCATTAGTCCTCAAACTCTGGAGGCCCGGAAGATGGTGATGCCCTGAGGGTGCATTACTGGGTCCAGATCTACTCAAACCCTTCCCTGGTAACAGTCAGCAGGTTCAGAAGGGGCAGGGGGACTTCAATTCCTGGGCTGATGAAATGTGATAGACTCCTCAGCACTCCTGAAGATAATCAGGTTTCCAACAGGGTCCGTGACACCATCCTGCCTTTACCTCACCCTCTCCTGACCCAGGAGCACAGGGTAATCCTCTACTGATCACACCAAAAGCAAGGAGTTCAGTTTGCCCCTAATCCTTTAGTTTCTTAGAATATAAACCTCGCTGGCTTTAAGCACGCACACTGGCTGCCTTTCTTCGAGGTCCTCAGCTTGTGTGGGTTTCTCCCTGCAGTGAGTTTTGTAGGCCGAGAGGCAAAACAAAGGCACAGTTAGCCAAAGCAAGCCTTCTACAACCACCTTGACACTAGATCTCCATCTCCAAGGACTTCAAAGGCATTTTGTTATTGCCATCCAATATTTGCTTGTTTTATTTGCAAATTTGCAAATTGCTCAATTTTCAATTGAGCCATCATTCCTAACAGAACTGAATGCCAAAAGATCTGCCAAACACGGTGCACTTCTACTGACAGTCATTTTGGGCACAGTGGCACAGAAGGAAATTCTGACTTATGATAAACAGTTCCCATCACAGGACAGAACTTTCCTTTTTCTTCTGCTTCTCAGAAAAGGACAAGGGAGATGGGGTTGGGGAACTGCAGAGGAATTCAGCTCTTCCATGTCTTCTATTTTAGGTAATATGAAGAGGGGAATTAGTCTAGACACATAACCAGTTACTTATTCTTAAGAGCCCTAGAGCAGTGATCCCCAACCATTTTGGCAGCAGGGATGGACTTTGTGGAGGACAATTTTTCCATGGAGGAGATGGGGATGGTTTCCAGATGATTCTCATAAGGGGCATGCAACCTATATCCCGCGGATGTGCAATTCACAGTAGGGTTGGCGCTACCATGAGAATCTAACGGCACTGCTGATCTGACAGGAGGTGGAACTCACACAGTAATGTGAGCAATGGGGAGTGGCTGTAAATACAGATGTAGCTTTGCTCACGTGCTGGCCAGCCACTCATCTCCTGCTGTGCAGACTGGGGGGGATTGGGAGACCCCTGCCCTAGAGGACTCGAGTAATGAACTAGTGTTTGCTTGAATTACTTCCCCCCAAACAGCCCCCATTTCCCAGCTATGCCCCAGAGACAGGAGACAAAGACACTTGGGCTCAGGATGGAATGAAATAAAGGGCACATCCCCCCGCTGACATTATGCACTGGGTGCTTGCATCTTCTTAAAAACTGGCCTGCAGGCTGGCGGCCCCCATACCTTCGTCACTGTTGTCATCCACGAGGATGATTTCCTTCAGCAGGTGGGTCGGCGTGTGGTTGACTGCGCTGTGAACTGAGCGCAGGATCACCGACAGGGCCTCGTTCACGAAGATAAATATGATGGATATCTGGGGCAGCTCCTTGGAGTACTTCAGCTCCTTACACCTGGAGGAAGAGAGCAGGGAAGAGCAGAGTCAGTGGAAGGAGGAAGGCAGAGGCACTGTGGCTGCAGGCAGTAAGGATGTCAGCTGGATCCTGGTACACGTTCTCCCAGGCCGAGAATCGCTGGTCCCCTCTGGGCCTCTCTTGGCTAAGAACTGAGAAAAAAAACCTAAGGAGGAGACAGTTAGAAAAACCAGCTTCACTTCTCCCAAATTTACCACCCCAAAGGAAGCATGAGGCTTGGGCACACATAGACTGTATCCTGGAGGCCATACTCACATGTACCACCCGGTCTCATTTCAGCACACACCCACACACCTATTCTGAGTATTCTTGCCTGGAGAATCCTATGGACAGAGGAGCCTGGCGGGCTACAGTCCATGGGGTTGCAATGAGTTGGACATGACTGATTGATGCACACTCACACCACCATCGTTCTCATCCAGAGGTGGCTGGGAAATGATGTATAAATACCCCCAGCTGCCTCAGCCCTTGAGCTGGTTGACTCTGAGGGGTGGGTTTTGCATGGGCCCCTTGAGTTTTTCCCCCTGCGGGATTAATCTCCATCACCCACAGTTTACATATAACACCCACTTTGGGGGATGCCTTCCCTTCTGAGTTCCACTTCCCCTTACTGGTGCTCTTTTCACTCCCCAAATAAACTGATGCTCTCAAGTCTTTGTTTCAGAGTCGGTTTGTGGGAGAACCCAAACTAAGACATCTCTCTGACCTACTAAGTACCCAGCTCTATACAGGAGACCTCTGCTCTCACAGAGCTTACACACTGGGAAGAGACATGAAACACACATGAAATTAATCAAAATCAAGGACGAGGGTCCTCTATCCACTATGACTGTGCTGCTTGACACACCCTAACTCTTCTTGCAAGCATTCCTAGAATCTGCCTGGGGGCCGGAAATGGAACCTAACATCCAGCAACTTCTCCGTCTCTGAAGACAGGAGTTCAGGTGTGCGCTAAGTCACTTCACTCGTGTCCAACTCTTTTGCGACCCTCTGGACTGTAGCCTGCCAGGCTCCTCTGTCCATGGGATTCTGCAGGCAAGAATACTGGAGTGGGTTGCTATGCCCTCCTCCAGGGGATCTTCCTGACCCAGGGAGTGAACCCGCAACTCGTTTGTCTCCCGCATTGGCAGACAATTTCTTTACAATTAGCACCACTTGGGAAGCCCTGAGGTTCAAGAGAAGAATGTTTTCATCCAGGCTGGACTCTGGGGTGTAGAGCTTAGGCCTCCCCGGAGGCACCTGATGATGTAACAGATGACACTGGTACCCTGGGATCTGGCTCTGCATGGCTCAGTGATGGAAGCATCAGTGCTCTCTCCCTGGAGCACTGGGGGATTGGGTTTTATGTATAGTTTGAGCCACTTTGAAACACCAAGTGGAAACAGAGCAGAATGGAAGACAGAGCTAGTGCATTTCAAATGCATCTTCTTCCTCCATGTGTGAGACTGTACAATGTATGAGACAATGTGTTCCAGAGCAAAACAAAGAGGACAAGATGAAGGCATGGAGTGAGAGGGAAGCAGCGCTGAAGAGGGAGCAGGAAATACAGCTGTTTTTTATGCTCAACAGCTTGGGCTGTGTCGGGCCATATTAATCATGTAGGCAATTTTCGGAAGAAAATAAAGTTTTGTTACAATGCACATTTGTGTCTCCTGGAGGAGACTGTCCGGGGATCCATTGATCATGCAGCCTCATTTTTACCACGACGCTGTAAATTCACTTCTGGGGGCTGCCGAGGAGATTAGAGTGGTTATTGACAGGCTCGCGGGCTGTTGGAGGGAATCATCTCATTTACTGTGTTGATCCGAGGGAGGGGGCGCATCCCAGAAGGTCCCTCGGAGCCCCCTTGATGTGGCCGGCAGCCATCCTGAGCTGGCAGGCTGGCGCTGCTCCCTCCCAGGCCGTTCCTCACCATACACGCAAGCACCCCCACCGTACACACCCACCTACTGAGCATGCACTCCCAGGCCGGGTTTCTTTGGGCTTTTGTCTTTTCAGATTCTGGCCCTGGAAATGAAGAAGCAAAGAGGCCAGATGGCATTGTACCAGCAGCAGCATCTTCTCCAGCTACAGGCAATGGGATCAGGCTGCCACTGAGGCTGAGTTGTGGGTTAAGCCTCTCAGCTGGAGCAGGCAATTCCCTCTGCTGAGCGGGACTCCTGGGACCCTCTGGGGAATGGGGACTCCGATCTTGCCCCTTCACGGTCAAGGTGGCCATTCAGTAAATTGTGGGGGCATCACAGAAGTAAAAAAGCTCTCTGCCACATGCTGAACCTGCCACCCTGGGCACAAGGCTCACGCCTTCTTCATCTCTGAAACTGTCCACATTATCCTCACCGTAGTTAGCTCTGGGTGCCTGGCTAAGGTCCTTCTAAGGGTCAGGTGAGCTCAGTCTTTGAGAGCCCTGGGAAAATGCAATGTACCCACCAATGGAAAGACCAGCCTTCCTGGACTAGAGAGCTTCTGGATGGATGGATGGATGGATGGATGGATGGATGGAAGGACAGACAGCTAGGTAGATAGGTAGACAGACAGATATCTTATTAGCTCTATTTCTCTGGCAGACCCTCACTGATACACTGCCCTGTGGTGGCTTGGAGAACAAATTTTCACCAAATTGAGGTGTCAGGTCTCATTGGAATCCTGTCTTTCCAATCTCTCCTTCCTGTCACAGCCTCAGACACCACCTCAGCACAGAAGGGAGCCTCTGGCACATGATGAGAGATGACCAGAAGGACGCCCCCCCGCAGTTGGGCAGTGGAATTATCTCAAAACTCCCATGGCCTCTCACCATCCAGAGCCGCTGCACCAAGGCTGTCTCCACCTCCAACAGCCACAACCTCCTTGCCTTCCGGTTCTCCCCACTGTGTCCCCCAAACAGCCACTCTTTGACCTCGATGAGACCTCCTGGTCCTGGGCCATCCTGTTGTCACGCAGTGTACCAGCTCTGCTCACGCTCTTGCTCAGCTAAAATCTGCGCACTTCCCTTCACCCCTGCCTTCATCCTCCGCTCACTTCCCTGGCTTGCTTTCTCACCAGCCCTGAAGAACCCCAGCTGGGAACCAGTTGTCCATCTGACTTTCCTCCCCTTTGCACACACGGGAGTGGAGGAAGAAGGCCCACGGTAGTGGTGACAAGACACATCCAAGGTCTCCAGTCCCCCGGGGCCCTGGGAGCTGCCCTGCACCCTTCTTTTCAAGGCAGGTCAGAACTCTCAATTCCCCCATCCCTGCCCCATCCCTTCTTCCTACTTTCTCCCCTTCCCTCCAGGCAACCTCCCTCTTGCAGGTCCCTCCTACCCCACAGAGGGAATCAAGGCCACCAGCAGGAATTTCCAAGCGTAGCCACAGGCCTGTAACAGCAGCAGCATTCCCCGGCAGCCTGCTAGAAATGCACATTTTGAAACACCTACTATAGAGCACAGTGAAGTCTGTTCAACCTTACGGGGCAGGCTGGATGGGAGGGATGTTTGGGGGAGAACCGATATGTGTATATGTATGGCTGAATCCCTTTGCCGTCCACCTGAAACCGTCACAACATTGTTAATCGGCTATATAGCAACACAAAATAAAAAGTTAAAAGCAACTCACATTTTCGGCCCACCCAGACCCACTGGCTCAGAGATCCTGACCAAGTTCTGCAAGTGGTTTCTGCACACCACGTGGAAATGTGAGAAACACTTCCCTGGCCCCCCTCACCACCTACAAATCTATCAACCTCTGAACTCAGCCTTGAAGGAAACAGGCTCAGGAGGTCAGAGGTAACCCCCTCATCTGTGCTGTAGATTCTTCATCCTCCTCCCCTCCAAATGCCCTGCTTCATCCATTATTCTCTCTCCTCTAGCTTCACTCTCCCTTCACTGACTTCTTCCACTCAAAGAAGGGACCCAAGTCTTTTCTATTTTCATCCAGAAACTCCCTTGCCCCGCTGCCTTAATCCCCAGCTTCGGCTCTCTCCTTTATCTGCCATTCACCCCCCATCCCACCGTTATTTACCTCCTAGTTACCCTATTCTGCTAAAACTGCTCTTGTTAATTTCCAGTGACAGCGAGGTGGCCAGAATCAATGGAGACTTCCCAACTTCACCGCAGCTGATGATCCTCTCTGCAGTGTTTAACACGGTTGCCTCTCCCCTTCCATAAACGGTATTTACCCTTGGATCCTGGCACCCTTGCCATTTTCATCCCCATCTCTGCTTTTTCTTCCACTGGAGGATCTGCCCTGGCCACTTGTTCACTTCCAAGGTTGTCCTTTTCTGCTAATACTCCAAATTCCAAAATTCCTAAAGGCTCTGTCTTCCACTCTCTGCTATTCTCACTTGATCAGCCCTTCCTGGGTGACCTCATCCCAATCTATGACTCCAACCCTGATGCCATCAACTTTCAAATCCACATCTCTAGATGCTTCAAGCTTCTGTTTCCCACTGGGCTTCTCCACTTGGATGTTTCATCAGCACCCCAAATACAGCCTTCCTAAAACCGACACCTGCTCTCTCTGTACCTCCCCATCTTCATTGAGAGGCACCACTCTTTTTCTTTGGGAGTCAAGTCAAAATCATGACACGTTCAACATTCCAATTGGTCATCAACTCCTAAAGATTCTGCCACCTTTAGGATCTCTTTATGACACTCCCCTCCACCCCTATTTCTACTTCTGCTCCTCTACTCATCATCAATCTCTCCTGAATGTACTCAAGGCCACCTAACTAACTGGTCCCCAGCCTCCAGCCTGTCTATCTGCAACTCAACCCCATTCTATCCACCCCACTAGCAGAATGATCTTTCTAAGATGCTAATGCAATCCTACTACTCATATTTCCATAACCTCTTTGGCTCTTGGTAGCTTTCGGAATTAGCTTCAAACGTCTTCGAATGACATCTAAGTTCAGACCCCCTGGCTCAGCTCTCCAACTTCATCTCCTCCCTGAGAGGGTAAATATTTGTACTTCCCAGAACCAGAAATGCTGCCTCTCAGTTCGCA